TTTAGAAATTATAAAATTTAAATTATAATATTGATTATTGCAAATTAAAATTAGAATCTTAATGTATGTAAATTGAAATTTCATCTTGGTTAATTATTATATTTGACAAAAAAAAAATTGAACTTCAAAAACAAAATGTTATAAAAATAAAAATATATGTATTATATTTAACATTTTTCAAAAGTTTAAAGGGCAGCTTGTCAAAAAGAATTTCGTTAGTCAATTAACAGAATGTTTGTTAAGTAGATCATTTTGAAACAAAATTGATAGTTTATAAATAATTTTTAAAAAAAATTATTTATAGACTAAACTGAAATAAATCAAATAGTTAATAGACTATTTATTGAATTTAACCCAATATAAATTATAAAATTTAAGATGATGGCATGTGTCATTAATTTTTTTAATGACTGAATGTGATGCCACCACGTTAGACCTATTGTTTGGAACCTTCACAAATCATTTGGTTGAGGATTATTCTAGGAAAATTATGATTATCTTTTAGTTGCCAATTTGAACTGTAATGGACCTATAATATATAACTACATCTTAAAAGACAATTTAGTTTAGGAGATTGAGTTGGCAAAAATAGGGATACGTAGCGAGGTCTAGAAGGAGTCTTGACTAAGTACATTGCTAAGGTGTTTGTCTTCCTCAGGAAACCATCCATGATTAGTAACTATTGCGAATTAGGGATTTTTAGGCTTGGAAGGAACAAAAAAAAGGTGAATTTTTTTTATCATTTAACACTTGATTAGCCCTACACACAACTTAAAACTAGTTTTAGCACTCATAGATCTTGTTACCGATCACTCACTTTGGCTTACATATTTTAGTTTTCAACATAATTCTTAGTAAATTTAGGTTATTTTCAGCATTCAAATATGGAAATTAGTTTGTGTAATTGCTTTTGCAACTTTTCTTCATGCAATGAAATAACGTTTTTTAATTTCTACAAGGTATTATTTTTTTTTGTAACTAATGTTTGTTTAAGGTTAATAATAAGTAGCTAAATTTTTAATTTTATAGTAGTATAGTTTCCAGTTTTGTTTATAGATCATAGTTAATCTAACAATGAACATACTTAGTTTAACTTAGATGAATCTTTCATTTGTAAATTTATTTTAATTTGCACTTTATTTATTTCATTTAGGATTAGTTTGCATTAATTCAAGATAATATTTAAATCCTTTAGAGCTATTCAAGACAAATTAGTTACTCATTATGCAGGAAAACATTCCCCTCTCTTACAAACCATTTGAGGACACAAAATTGATTAATGTTCTTTTAGCTATCCTAATGGAGGTTGATTGCATGGAAGAAAAGGATTATTGGGGAAATCCTATTTTCTTACTTTATAAAAAAGCAAGTGACTATGCCTCACATCTTGATTGGTCATGCATGTGCTGCTTTAGAATTTTTGAGGAAACATAATGTCACACCTCAGACTCTAGAGCGAAACAGACGTCGTACACTTGTAAATGGGATCCACAAGTGCACCAAGCTCAGAACCAAGCTCAGAACCAAGCTAACTTGCTATCCATATTCAATTACAAATAAATAAAGTCTATTAATACCTCTATTATAATTAAATTTTGAGTAATGTTCAATTAAATGCTTTGAAGTTAGATTATGGCCCCATTTGGTATAGCGGTTTTGGGGTAGCGGTTAGCGGTTTTACCTAAACCGCTAAATATAGGTGTTTGGTAAATTTATATATTTCGAAACCGTTATAAATAAAGTGTTTGGTAAAATTTTTATTTAGCAGTTTGAGACTAACGGATAGCGGTTAGAGTCCAAACTGTTAGCGGATTGAAAAAGTTA